GTCCCCGCCCGGTGCGTCGGGGAACTCACGCAGCGTCAGAAAATAAAACCCTCTCTCTTTTCCTCCGTACCCAAATCTTTTAAAAACAGGGGTACAACGAGCGGATACAGATTCCATCCGCTGTGACGTAATAGCGTCGGCGGACCCAGAGAAAGTTGCTATCAGAAACAATGCCTGACGTGTTTCGGACGTAAACTCGTCTTTGTTTACATTAGCAAGCCTCGCTAACACTCAGAGCTAACCTGTACTGTAGAGCACATGTGTTTAAAAAGCAGGAAATAAAAAAAGGAACTCAGCTTGTGATAAACCCCAAGAGAAAAAGCATTTGAGCTCCAGACTGTTTCAGAAATAATCCTTGATGTGGTTTAGAACAGGATGGCGTTTTATCACAGCAGAATTTAACTATATCTCCGGTAGAATTCTGATCAGGCATTAGCTCCGCCTCCTTTTCTTTTTTTCAAGCTAAGGACCCACGATCTGCGTTTCTCTAACAGGGCTTCAAAGGAGGGGTTTGAGCAGTATGAGGCATGGGTGAACTGTTTGGTATTTTGAAAAGAAAACTTCACAGACATGTTTTGTATAGGTATGGCCCTACAATATATGTTTCAAATATAGCATGATAGGTCCACTTTAAGGGCAGCCACTTGCAGTATTTCAATATTATGTGAGTTGTATGAAGCTCAACTCCATTAAAACACATCAAGACTATCACGTTTGCTCACAAAAAGGTACAAAAATGTATCAACAACCGTCTTTGCTCAGATTGCCACTAGAGGAAATACAATATTTTAGAAGTGCAACAGTGGCTTTTGCATTCAAGTTTCCCCATCACAAGCCCAAGAAACTACAAAATAGTTAGTCAAAGACATGTTGAAACTTCATCTTCACGAATAAACCAGTTTTCGTTGTTGGTTTCTATTGTTTCACCATTTATTTCCTCCTTTTGCTGCTTTTAAGGTAGATCCTTGCCTGTTTTTTTAATATGTCTGCGGTCTAAAGTTGCCGGACCAATTCAGTTTTAAAGATATGTTAAGATCTCAAATCTAAGTTAAGTTCATTTTGTTTAACCGTTGGACTACTGTACGTCAGAGAACAAACAAAACAACAAATACAATAAAAATAGTGTCTCCACTGCCTCGGAGAACTTCAAATAACTTAAACGCAACGTAAGGTGAACATTTCTTATCGTCACGTTAACAATGTCTCGGTTTGGTCTTACCTTTCTGCCTCTTCTTCCGCAGCTCCACAGGAACCGTCAGCAGCAAACGGTTCGGAGGCTTTGCCCGGACACACCGACCTGTCGCTGATCGGAGACCCAGAGGGAAAGACCTCCAGTCCATCGGGAAGCACCAGCATCTTCTTCGACACTATAGGGGAGGAACAGCAGAACGAAAACAACAACAACCCATGTAAGATACTTTATACTAATGCAAACTACAACTCCAAAGGTCCATATGTGAAAAAAGGGCCACAGATTTACGGATATAAAAGGTAGTGTGGAAAATGAGAGCAATACAATAATAATACTATGATCTGGTGCACACTCTCTTCTAAAAGCATTATTAAGAGGTCATATATCTTCGACATCGTAGCTTACAACAAGGATATTTGAATGGAAAGAGATCATAATTCGGATGTACGGAAGTGTAATTAAAATGTATTATGCTAATGCTAATTGTAAACATCACAAAATCATCCAATTGCTGCAAATTGTGTCACTTTTTGGAATTTCTTATCAACTGCGGGCAAAATTAAATGTACAAATACAATAACTGTAATTAAATAATAAGCATTTTACTTTAACCAAGAAAGGTACAAAAGGGTATTTAGCTAAAATATAGCTATGTTAAAGTGGACCTATCATGCTATATTTGAATAATATATTGTAGGGCCATACCTATATAAAACATGTCTGTGAAGTTTTTTTTTCAAAATACCAAACAGATCATGCATTTTAGCCAAAAATTCCTTGGCTAAAATTCCTGCAAAGAAGGGGGGCGAGGCACGAGCGTCATGTTACCATGCTGTTACCATGCTGTTACCATGCCACGCAACCTCTCATTCCCCTGATAGGTGGAGAGTTGGCCATATAGGCGGAGCTCCCCGTTTCTGACGTCAGAACAATTTAAAATCTGGATCAGTCTGTATCAGATTCGTTGCAGCCCCCGTTTTTAGAGATTTGGGTACGGAGGAAAATAGAGAGGGTTGTGTTTTCTGGCACTTGGTGAGTTCCCTGCACACCGGGGACACATATTCACGTATACAAGACGTACAAAAGTGCATTTTGCATGATAGGTCCCCTTTAAATTGGAAATCTGAAAGTTATACTTGGTCTTGATCTTACATTTTACAAAGGGCAAAATAAATGAATGTACAAATACAATAATTCTAGTATATCGTACTTTCTTAAGTACATTTTGCTGTCAAATTTGTGTACTTTTTACTAAGATAAGATCCTAAATACAGGGCTTTTTTTACTGAACAACATTGCTAAAATATAATACTGGCTTACAAATAACTCAGTCAGCTAATAGGCTTTAAACGCTGAGCAAGGAATGTACAATTGGTGTATTTTGTTAAATATTTTAGGGAAACATCTCATAGTTATACGTATTGATCTTAGGTCAATTTTGCTGTGAATCTTTCTGTACTTAAAGATGAAAGCAGGACTATTACTTGTAGTATTTTTACTGAAGCATATAGCAAAGTATGCTAATAGCCTAGCTAAATAAGTCAGATGAAGAAGTTAGCTACATTTTCTCCTTTAGATATGCAAAGTGGATTCTACTATTTACTTTGGATGAATATTTTGGGAATGTAAAATCTTCTTGTTTCCTTCTTGTTTCTTTAGCGGTTTGCTCCAGTGACCCATTTGTTGAAATACACCTGGAAGATAATCTCCTCAGCTCCTTTGAAGCTCCTTCCTCCGTCCTGCCCTTCTCTCCTTTCTCCTTCTTCTCTTCTTCCTCTTAGCACCTCCAATGATCAGAATCAGAATCATTGTATTACCAAGTAGGTTAAGAGATATTAGTTGGTGTATTTGGTGCTTACATAAACACAGTCAAAGAAGATACAATTGTAAGAAAAGGACCATCAAATAAAACAAGGTTAAAAAAACGAAATTTAACGAAAAATATTATAACATTAAAATACAGTAATATTTACATGAAATATAGATTAAATATAGATGTATAGTCCCGTAACAAATACAATATAATAAAATAAAGTGTGCGCAGTATTGGTATGATAAAGGGTACTTAAAACACACACACACACACACACACACACACACACACACACACACACACACACACACACACACACACAGTTATTTTAGAGACTTTTTGTCCTCGGATCAGTGAAACAGCAGTTAGCTCAGTTAGCAGAAACTACCGTTAGCTAGCTAAGCTAACTGGCTAAGCTAACTAGCTAGTAGGATGATTAGGCAGTTTATTTGTATTGCCGTTTCTAAAGTATTAGGAGTATTAATACATATAAATAACAAGTAAACAGAGAGCAACAGTAACTGTATAATATGACAGATATACATTCATATTTTTTAAAGCTATTTTGTGAAGTTATACACCTCTCTGTGTAAAATACTAGAAACTGAAATCATGTAGGACTTTTTATTTGTAGTATTTTCAGTATTTTTACATAAGAATGTTTTTTTTTTATATGTTTTTCAGAAAATACATTTTACTGCTGACATTTTGCTTAAATTAGATGGGTTTTGGACCAGACTGACATACAAATGTGTAACGTTGTGTTGTATAGACAAACTGATGTTGTTGTTTTTTTATCATTATGCCTTGTGTTCGTGTTTTCAGTGGCTTGTAATTATATTTTGAATAAATCAGAACTTGTTCATGAGTTGTACAACTGTTATTTTTCACAATTGCTAGATCTGTTTACATTTTTTAAATAAAACTTCACTCCAACTGTTTTTTCCTGTCCTATTTTTGTACTCTGTTCCAAATGTGTACATAAATAAGATGTCTTAGGAAAGAAAGAGTCCACAAAACTAACTGTGGGAGACTTCAACTTGTTAAACTCAGACTTGAAAACCGTTAAATGTAGCTAATCTTTAGATTTTTACACAGAAACAGCACCAGATTAATTATTTTTAAAGGCCATGTGTACAGAGAAGAAATAATACCAGAAACTAATGGCTGCTCCAATCCACATAATATGCATGATATAAAAGACAGATTTGAAACACTATTGAGGCTTTCCTTGACGAAAGCAGAATGACTTAAATTAGCCAACAAATCCAACACCTTTACAAGTGCTAGATGCTAGTGATGTTACGTATTGCGCCGAGGCTTCGGAGCGTGTGTCGAGTAATCCCCGAAGCTTTTTCTGAACCTTGCATCGAGGCTTGTATCGTTTTGGGCAGTGACGTCATCGATGACAACGAGCCTCGCTGCCTGTCGATACCACGTGACTGCTTCAGAAAGCGATTCAGATCCGTTGAACCATTAAACCACAACGCTCATAATACCCATGGATGTATAATAAGAACCATATTACCCCTCCTGTACCCGGGCCCGCTGGTGACACGATGAAATTAAGAGAGCTCAGAACCTCATTTATATAGAGGTCAGAACACGTCATAAGTATAAATGAATAAAAGCATAAATAAATGTAGGAATAAAAACATCAATAAATAAATACAGCAATAAATAGTATCCAGTGTTTTTGGGTGGATTCAGTGTGTGGGATGTGGCTCAGCTGGAAAAGAGTTGACTTACATCCGCAGGGCCCCTGGTTCAATGAATGAACAATACATCTTTTTTATTGTTTATAAAAGTTACAGCTAAATGAGATAATGTAGTTAATAAATGTATTCTTTGATATGGTTTAGCCTTTCTCAGGCTACAACACGGTTACGTTTATGAATATTATTAAGGAATACAAATCCCTCTTTGCAATGTTTACCAGCCTCCTTAGGCTTTTCAATCACAATCAATAAACTGGAATAAAAACAATATTGTTAAATAGAAAATA